AATATGTATTTTTTTAAACTTTTGCGATGACGTTTTACAAAAGTTTTAGTAAAAAATAATATAGGTACCAGGTACCTAGTGTAATGCTTTTATAAAAAATTGTTAATAATAATATATTATATATTATATTATTTAAAAACCATTGCCAACTTAATTTTAAACCGAGAAAATGGCTTTGGTCGAAACGAGAAAGGTTAATTTTAGGCGAAACAGGTGCCGCCGGCATTAGTTGTTATTTTTGAGGTTTAAAGAAACAAATTCACAGTTATTTATGTAAGAATCAAGAAAAACAACTAATTATTAAAGAAAACTAGAATACTCATCGTATTTACACAAAACCAGTTTTTGACAATATCGATGTTGTTGTTTTTTTGTACYTAATTCAAAATTGAATAACCATCGGTTGATTATTTTATACAAAGTGTGCCCCTTGCTTTCAATTATTAAAAATAATCAATTAAGGAAAAGCTGAAAAACTATGACTGGACCATTGTGATTTTAAACTATTATAAACACATCTTTGAATCGGAATGATATTTAACGTATATATTATTAAGAATTATAATAAGATACCTATTTATAAAACTTAAACGCCAAATAAAATAGATGGAGTTAAAAAATATTTCTAGTGCATAGATATTTGGTATATAAGTAGGTATGCGAAAGATGTTTGAATATTCGCAATGTATCGTTTTGTTGACTTTGCACATCGATATGACATAAAAATACATATTGTAACATATCCGTGCACCCGACAATGAAACAACTGAATAGTGTTATTATTACTTATTATACATTATTATATTGTTCATAATATATTATATACTCGTTATATTATAAATGAATACCTACAATAATCAAACAACCACCAAGGTTCTTTTTATTGTGCAAACACGGCGGTGTATTACGATACCAGTGTGCGTGATGTATAGTATTTTGTTTAGTCTTCTATACAGTAGGTATCATCATTGCCATATGTAATCAAATATTATAACATTATGGGCCGCTATTATAATATCGTATAGACAATCACATGTTTTGTTGAAATGTATAATATAATATTATAATATTTAGGTATCATAATATACACAGGTAACCTACTATTTATGTTATTGCAAAAAATATCACTATTATAATGTACACAATACATATAAGTAAATATCATAACAGGCATAGGGTCCTGCAGTGAGCGCATTTAGACCATCACGTGTGTTACGCGTTTTAAACTTTTAACTTATATAAATAACTGATTTATTTATTGTTCAATTGATACCTACATTCAATTCTGCTTTTTACTTGTTAAATACGTTATGGTCGTTATGAAATGTACACAAAAGTTGCACAATTTAAAAACGATCATAACTTGCTTCTTAATAAAAATATTAATAAAAGTCTTAGGATAGTAATCCTTTTATTATAATTATCTTTACATTTTAAGACGAGTCAATTAATTTTAATTTTATATATATCAGATTAAAATGGTGTATCCTTAGTTTAAAATTTGATTTGTTGTACGTTTGTAAAATGAAAACAACACATACGGATGTCACGTCCTCTCAAGGATATATAATATTATCAATATTTGTGTTATATCAGGATAACTTGAATAATATACGCTACTCGATTTTTCCATATTATATTTCAATAATATTATAAACACTGTAMGTGTGAGAGGTAGATATTGCAGTTACTCGACTGGGCGAATGTAAGTTCCTACACGAGACCTAGCAGGTAAACAAGATACATATGTTAGTTCCTACACGATAAAATAAGGTACATATGTAAGTTCCTACA